ATATTCTTTGTTTACTGCAATATACCATATATCTTTTGCCCAAATTTACAGAGAGAGGGGCATCGTTCACATGATTTCTATATTCAAATTTTTTCTTGTACGTGATTTTTTAGAACTACTGATTTTTAAAACTACTACCGTACCGTGATTTTTTTTGGAACACATTCTTACTTATCTAGCGTTGAGAATGTGGTCGCAGGTCACGCGCGTGTCGGCACAAGACGCGTGTTGTGTTCTCGAGGAAGCATCCGGGCGTGGCTGCTAAACCTATCCTGGTATTCCAAGTCTCGGATTTTTTTTTCGAGGATAAGCAAGTTCCGCAAATTCTTGCTTCTTTTGCAGTAGTTTAATACTTTAATTATTGTTTTGTTAACTATCCGCTTTTACTTGCATTTACATATCTCACTTACATGTATACTACGGATATAAAGATCCTAATACTAATACTTGTACTGGACGATCAATATTTATCGGTAAAATTAATTCAAAATTAAATGCATGGTTACTACTAATGTGCAACTTAACTCGTAATTCTTTGTAGTGAATTTTATAATTTTTGCTCTCTGAAATGTAACTTAACATCATCAAGAAATAATATTATTTAATATTAATTGTAGAGTTATTCAATGCATGAAAATCTAGTGATGTTAGCAGGGAATTGAATATCCTAGCATGCAATTCATGCCTCGTATGTATATAAATCCTAGTGGTCCTATTCACAGTGTCTTACCACTGATTCTAATGCCGGACTTATTAAATTAATGTTCTTTCTACTCAAGTATTCATTTTTTAATTTTATTTTCTTGTATTTTAAATTATAGGCTACATTTCGCGAATAGAGGGTTTGTATCTTTAATGATTAATAGTTTATTCATTGCGTTTCCTCGTTCAAGAGATATTTTTTATGGTGCATGCTTCAATTATTTATTCCTATAAAGTTTATCAGATCACTGTTGATGGCACCACTTCTTTTCACTGCGCAGATCGTGGAGCGTAATAACAGACTGAAGGATGAGTATGAAATGAGTTGTAATCAGTTTTATATTAGACATTTAACATGTAATATAGAGATATTACATGTTAAAATTATGTCTAAAATAAAATTGATTACAACTTATTTCATACCTACTCATCCTTCAGCTTTTTGGCTTCTAACCGAAAGATGAAGTGTTCAGTGGCGAAATGAGCAGGTCAAAAATAGAAACACATAGGCTTTGTAAAGAAACATTATATTTTTACGTCTTATATTAGTATTATTATTATTATTATTATTAAAAAGTATTATTATTATTATTATTATTAAAAAGTATTATTATCATTATTATTATTTTTATTTTATTATCTATGATTTTTCCTAGATGCTTGAAGGTTAAGTGAAGCTACTTGAGATACGTAGTAGAAATTGTGAATTTGTATGTATATATCCATCTTCCATAATACAAATATCCCTAAACAATACAGACGGCATAATTGAACATTCTGTGAGCAGCTCTGACGTTAGATGTTCTTAATAATGTCGGTGTTCTTCATTTTATCGGTAAAATCTTCATTGAATATCTTATCTTTTATTTCGAATTTGCTGTGTTTTGTTCTCTACTAGCTCTCCTACAGTGTGCAGTTGTCCGTAATGACTCCTCATTCTTACCTGCCGTTCTCATTAACATAACAATATACTATTGTAGCAAGGTTCTAATTTTGCTAATTGCTGCTATAGTGCGTTAGATTCTGTGGCCAGGAGACTTGAAGAACTTCCGATGAGGTTACACAGTCCGTTTTATCGTGTGCTTCTTGTCTTTCCTTCGTCGGATGGAAAAACTCTCGATATTTTTATTTCCTGAATTAAGTGCCCCTTCTTTATCAATGTTTTTGGGTTTTGTGACGTCGAACTCTTGACCTGGTAGTATTTCCGATGAAATCAAAGAATGCGTTTGATGATTAACATGTTTTCCGGGAAATGTCTTATCTTCTGAGCAAAGCAATCGCTTATCAGCACTTGAGATTTAAATCGCACTCAAGATAAGCGTCGCCACGATAACACTGTAGTGGTGCATACAGGAATTTGAGATTCTGCTAGCCATGATTCACATTCGTTCACGTCATTCTCATTTTGAATGATGTCAGAAATTACGCATGTACGCTCTGCTTCAGTTCTTATCCGTCCCGACCGGAGCTGACGTACATTTTCAAAACAATGTATTGTAAATCAAGGAGCTGACGTACGCTTTTAATAAAATATATTGTAAACCAAGGTGCTGACGTACGCTTTTAATACGATGTATTTTAAACCTAGGAGCTGACTTACGTTTTTAATACAATGCATTGGAAACTAAGGAGCTGAGGTACGCTTTTAATACACTGTATTGTAAACAAATTAGAAGTCCGATATCCATCGAGGAATGTTCAATGTTCGTCTTATTTCCCCGAAAAATGAAAGTAACTTCACCTTAGATATACTACATTGATTTTAAGTGAAGGAACTTTCAAATGTTGGGTTTAAGTAACTTTAATTTTCTTGAGAAAAAATGTAAAATCATTGAAATTTAATACGTCAAGATGTCAAGGTATATTACGCCGGTGAGTGAAGTTCCGAAATGGCGCGGGTAGGTCGCACTCTGTCACACTTCATGGGCTTATCGCTTCACTGATTATATATTATTGAACAGAAACCACGCGTATGAAAGTAACTAATCGACAGCATTATAAGAATGTCTTGCTGTTGCAATACATTTTCCTTGCTAAATATTATTAGGTTTTTTTTTCTTTCCATTTTAATTTTTTTAATTGAACCTTGAATGTGGGCGTCAGACAACACGATCATGTTAATTCCAGCTATTTTTTATCTTTTATTCGAATTATATAAGTTATCATTAATGATGAATCTCATTTTCATGCACCTAGTTGTCTTAAACTGGCCTGCACACATCCCAACTTGATATCGAGACTATCTATATCACACTTGCATTGATCTTTCAATCACAAACCAGGTAAACGCCTCGCAGTACTGCATAATAATTTTATTAATTAATTCTCCTACAAATTCATGAAAACACGAGGCCTTGCTGTCTTCACAATCAAATTATCCTTTTTGGGGCTCTTCCAAGTAGATATTTTTAATTTTTACTCCAGATTAGAGCTCGTACATATTTTCCATAATAACACAATCATCGCCATTTAACTTCATGTCCATCGATCTTAAGTCTCTAAGCTACGTCATTAAAATTGAATACCTATCTCATGCAGAACACATTCACCAGACGCTCAAACTTTAAATTTGAGTTGCCTCTGCTCCCTTGTTTGCTGTTTGTGGGAATTTCGTACTTGATGATTCCACAAGGATAGCCGTTATTGTCGTCATTGCTACGTATAAAAAAAACACGGTGTGTTTTGCTACGTAGGTGTGTTTCTTTTGCTACGGTGTCCCAAAAACACACGGTATAGCGACCCGTGCTGAGCGTCTGCATGGAGGCGCTATACGTCACGACTGACATTCTTCTGACATTAGCGAGGGAGCCGGGACGGACAATTGGCATTTGCTGTCATTTTTAAAGCAAACCGAAACATATCATGCTGCCTTATACGTGCATACGACATTTTTAATGTACTCTATGTGATTAATTTTTGAGTTCTTTTATTATAATATTGTATGCGTCCATTTTCCAGCAATTGTCTTTTTGGACAATCGGACCTTTTATTACTCCATTCCTTTCTCGAATATAATAATTTATCGGGCAATCATTGACGGTTCATAAGTTCAATAATGTTGGACAATTAGTGACGAGAATATTGACTTAATTTTCTAGTTTGCATTTTGAATTTTAGTCATCGATGAACTTGCTCCGTGATAGTCAACAAAGCGAACCGGCAGGCACGAAAAAAATTCGTGCTGCCAGCTTCGATGGAATTTCCATTTAAATCGTATTTATTTTCGTTCCTTAACAAAACCGATTAAGCCAGCGCTTTTTCCTAACTTTTACGTAATGCTGCGTGCCCCGATAAGCTTAGAATTCAACTGTAAATCGACATCTATGCAGATTTTAATAACTATACGTACATATATTTTTATTTTCCTGTGTTGAAAAATGTTGTTATAAAGCTGTAATTTATTTGTGCAGTACAAATATTTTTTTATTTTCCGATGTAGACAAATGTTTTAAGGCGGTAATTTATTTGTGCAGTACAAATATTTTTTATTTTCCTATGTGGAGAAATGTTGTTATAAAAGCGGTAATTTATTTGTGCAGTACAAATATTTTTTATTTTCCTATGTGGAGAAATGTTGTTATAAAGCTGTAATTTATTTGTGCAGTACAAATATTTTTTATTTTCCTATGTGGAGAAATGTTGTTTNGCCAAGACTGCTTCCATATCGAGTTTATGGTGAGCAAAGAGCGCCATAATACAGTACCTCTGCAGCCCAGACTGCTTCCATATCGAGTTTATGGTGAGCAAAGAGCGCCATAATACAGTACCTCTGCAGCCCAGACTGCTTCCATATCGAGTTTATGGTGAGCAAAAAGCGGAGTAATTATATGCGGCAGGGAAATGTGACCGGAGGACTGCATTGCCAATCCAGACCGTGACTCCGTCTGTAATAGTCCATATATTACAGCAAATCGAAATTTTTTCTCATAACTTGACAGCTCTAAATGTCAGTTCAATACCCCTGACTTAGGGAAATCCTTATACCGGTACGTCAGAGTAGTTACTAGTTCCTCTCGCTCTTCGTCTACCGCAGTTTCTGATCTGCGTTTTAATATACATGAAAAATTATTGTGTATACAGGCGATTTTTGATTATTTTAGAGAATGAGTTTTGAACGTCCTCCTTTACTCCCAATGCCTATTTTCAAAAAAATGTTTACATGCTCACTACCGTCGCACCTAGCCATGAAAATATCCCTTTTAACCAGGAAGTTCTTGAATTATTTTGATTATGCTTCCAACTTCGCATCGAACTTGATACTGAATTTGAGTACAATTAATGTTTTTTTCCCTGTGCAGGTGTCGTGTATGCAATTTGTTAACATTGTTGTACATAGCGTAGAAGATATGAACTTCCGAGTGCACCTACAGTACGAGTTCTCTCGTCTGGGTCTCGATGAGTATCTCTACAGACTACGTAACACTGAGAGCGAAGAACTGCACGTAAGTCCACAGCAATTTATTACACGCTTCAATTCAATTACTTTTTTATTTATTAACGAGAATCTCTACAGACTTCAAGAACTTCCAATATTTTTACTCGGGTTCAAACTGAAATTTTTTTTACATTTCATGTTTATGGTAACTTTGAATGAAGATGATGCAGCGAAATTCATTTAGCTCGAGTCGATCTGTTTGGACGGCCATATTAAATTGTGTAAGGATTTCATATTATAAGCTAATATTAGTCACTATTAGCGGAAATTTCAGGAGTTTTTAAAGCAACAAATGATCTCTTTTAGTTTTTGTTAACGAATCTAGATCATAGTTTTGAACATTGTTATTTAATATGAGACATTATGCGTTATATTTTTGTTAATGTCGCATTATGCTTTCAATTCAAGTAAATTTATTTTGAGATAAAACAACTCATTTAAGTCAAAAATTACCCACTTTTGTTTTCAGTCTTAGAATGGAGAGAATTTCTAACAACTTCTGTGTTTTTTGCGCACAATTATCGTCCTATGGTCTCTTGTCTAGTATTCGACGGGCAAAGCAAGCTTTATGAGTAGTTGACCACGGGAGAAACTATTCAGTTTTAAATATTGAATTTACACATACACGTTTGTTGTGTTGCAGGTTCAGATCTGTGCGTACCTGGACAACGTGTTCGACGTCGCTGCTCTGATGGAGGACAGCGAGACCAAGACTGCGGCGCTCGAGAGGCTGCATGACACCGAGGAAGAACTGGCCCACGTAAGACAAGCAAAACTTACTTAGATAATTACAATCTGGGCCTATACTTTCAGAAAAAGTTAAGAGATCGTAAGTTCATCAGCCAATCATTGACGGCCTTTCGAGTAAGATCCACCAATCACAGACAAGAAAATAGAGCGTAAGCGTTTGCAGTCCCAAAGTTCACTTAGCGAGATTTGAATGTATGGCCCCTGGAAGTTACATTGCTTGGTAGCTGAAGTATTTAATCTCAATTGATTTGATAATTGAGCTCTGCTCTACTCATCATATGTATCGCTCAATAATGGGTATTATCACATTACGAGATTCATGTTGCCTTCTCTATTATCATCTTGAGTTGACATTTCGTACAATAGGTGCACAGTAGCTCGATAAATGATTACAATGATGTGTTCTTCTGAAGCGTAATCATAGGAATTCTTCTACTAACGTTTTGCTTTTACAACGCGCTTTGTTCGTAATGCTCTTGCTACGCATATTTTTGAGAACTCAAGACATGAGAGTACATAACTACATATCTATGTGCTATTTCCAGACAATTGAACGGCTACGAGAAAGTGAAGCATCATGGCTCGCCAAGTCCGTGGAGTTGGAGTCTGAGTTAGAGGAGCTGAAGAGAGCAAACCAGGAGCTGCGCGAGACAAATAACCAGGTGAGCTTAGCCCTCAGTCTGGTGAGAGCAACACTCGTTACAAGGGGCCGTAATATCAAAAATAATTAAGAGTTCGTTATTTGGGGCCGTTACGGTATATAAAATAATTATGAGTTCGTTACTTGGAGCCGTAATATCAAAAATAATTAAGAGTTCGTTATTTGGTCCGTAAAATAAAAAAAATTACGAGTTCGTTATTTGGGCCGTAAAATAAAAAATAATTACGAGTTCGTTATTTGGGGCCGTAAAATAAAAAATAATTAAGAGTTCGTGTTTGGGGCCGTAATATAAAAAGTAATTATGAGTTCATTGTTTCGTCAGCTAATGACTGACAGGTATTAAAAGCTAAGCCCATCAATTACAGACGAGAAGTCACCAGCTACGTATACTAAAGCGAGTTTAGATGGTACGGCACCAAGCCTTTATTTACGAATGGCATCGACGATGGTTAATGTGTGCCTAGATAATGGGTTAAGCTTCTCATTATAGTACATAGAGCATTATTTCGTTCGTAATTCAAGGAGAATTCTTGAACGTCGATGCAAGAGCAGCTAGGATTAAGTTAAAGAAATTTAACTAATCTCATGAAGAATGTTAAATAATCTGCACATTTCTATATCATCGAGTCTAATCTTGTTTGTTATCTTATCCTTTGAAATGTTCCCTATCTTTATCCTCTATAACTCTATAAATTTGTCTTCTAATCCTTACCCTGATGAAGTAATGGTTTCATCTATCCCGCCATCGCCCGCCACCCCCTCTCCTATTAGAATAGAATAGAAGTGTCGGCACTGAAGAAATAGGCCCATGGCCTGTTGCCGATTCTTGTTCATAGAATATAATAGAAGTGTCGGCACTGAAGAAATAGGCCCATGGCCTGTTGCCGATTCTTGAACTTTTCGTGACTTGATTCACAAGGGATCCGGCCTTTAGAACCCGATCTTTCCATAACTGACGATTGATTGAGATAGCTGCTAGACTTCCATTACTGACGATTGATTGATTGATCTTTCCATAACTGACGATTGATTGAGATAGCTGCTGAACTTATTACCTAACTGTCCCCCGTCAGGTGCTGGCGGAGGTGACGACGCTACGACGCACGGCCACGCAGCGAGAGGAGGAGAACAGACAGCAGCAGTCCAAACTCGAGTACAAGATCCAGCACCTCGAGACCCTCAGCCGCTCCGGTACACACTTATAATCACTTATAACCACTTATAACACATTTATAACTTATAACACACTTATAACAGGCAGCAGCAGTCCAAACTCGAGTACAAGATCCAGCACCTCGAGACCCTCAGCCGCTCCGCTACACACTTATAATCACTTCATCAGTTTAGCAGTGATAAGTGAAGGCTTAAACTACAGTTATACGCACTAGATGTTGATGTGTGCTTTTGAACCGCCTCGTTGGCGTTTCAAACATACCGCCGTTTGAACATACCGCGTGGCCTCTGAGTGTCTACAAATGATCTCAGCTTGAGCCTACGAGATTAAGGCCTACGATACCGAGACTGAGGGAACGAAATGTAGGCGTCGCACCAGCGAAGCCGTCCGCAAATGCTGATGATATCATTAATTCCTGCCGTGACTTCGAAACTTATGCTTGGTGTTCCTGCGATAATTTTCTTGTTTTTGGTTTTGTTCCATTTACTGAGTTGGTACATTCTTAGTTTATAATATTATCTATTTCAAAAGTCTTTTAAAATGATTACTAATACTTAACTGATATTCAGTGTATTCCTCCTACACACTCGTCATGTAAAGAAAGAGGAAATAAGTTCCATTTTAATTAATATCGATTTTTTACTCTATAATTAAAATCCATACAATATCTATGTTCGAGTGTTAGCGCTGTTAGGCCGCGCAAACGATTTTACTGTGTTTACATTTGAAATATTTCTATTATCTAATGTATTATCATGTATCATTCTATTATCTAATGTATCATTATATTATCTTTATTCATGATTTTATTCCTAGAATTTTAAATCTCCTTATTAAAAAATTAATGCCCCACCCCCGTCCCCCCTCAGGTTCGTCTTCTCTCAATGGCAGTACCTCGTCTTCCCCCAAAACCTCCCCCCATAGGGGGCATCAGAGGACCGCCCCCCATGCCGGGCAAAGGAGAGTTACACTCCATGGATGCCATGACCATCAAGAAGAAGGTCGCCACCAAGTACAAGCTGCCCACCCTCAACTGGGTCGCGCTCAAGCCCAACCAGGTTAGTTAAGTGTCGTGGTTTACTTACTTTACTTTTAGGGTTAGTCAAGTGGCATGGTTTACTTACTTTACTTTAGTGGTGGCATTTTGGCTCAAGCCCAACCAGGTTAGTCAAGTGTCATGGTTTACTTTACTTCTAGATGGCATTTTGGCTCAAGCCCAACCAGGTTAGTCAAGTGCCGTGGTTTACCGTCAAACGGGGTAATAAGGGACGGGCGGGGTAATAAGGGACAGTCCTCTGACATTTCGTATAAATGTTGTAGCAGCTAAACTAATTAAAGTATTGTACAACTAATAATAGTGGCATAAAGTTCAACATTTTTCCTATCTAAGTAGCATACAGCAACTTGAAAAATCATACATTTACTACCTCTAAAAAACCCTGCAAAAAAGTGTGAAAAATGAGATTTTTTAAAAGTACCTCTGCTCAGGTCTGTACCAAAAATAAATATTTGACGTATTAAAAAATTTTACTTACATAAAAGTTGCACACAGGTGTTGGCTTAAAAACGTGATTGACAGAATTTGCATAGCTCATTCCAAGCAAAAATGGCAGCCATTTCTGCAGGACGGGGTAATAAGAGACACCCCCCGGGGGTAATAAGGGCCACCTCTAAAAACGCATTTACAGTAGAACCTCAAGTTTTCATATCCACGTCTCAGTTTACCGCTCCGTGTTTGACGCTAGCGCCAACGTTGCAGGTACGCGGGACGGTTTTCAACGACTTGGACGACGAGAAGCTATTTTGTGTGATTGACTTCGCTGCGTTCGAGGAGGAATTCAAGATTGGTCCTAACGTTGGGCTCCTGCTTGCTAACGGCGACTCGACTGAAGTGGATTCCCTATCCGCGTTCGGCAGCAAACGCTTCAAGAAACCTGAACTTACTTCCTTAATGGAGCACACGCGACTCAGGAATGTCGGTGAGTCATGAAATTAAACTTTGTTGGAGTTATTCCTTCTGCTACATTGGTGGTCTATAAAAAAATCTTACTATCTAAATAATTTCTTAATCGTTTACTTACGCATGTACGACCAGACCAGAAAACGGCTGCACAAGTACATTCTTTTTATCAAGTTATGAGTTATTTCTTGAGTAGTAGTTATTCTCTCACAGTTTTTGAGTAGTTGTTCTGTTATACTATACGATTTTCTTTTAAATTTACCCATACCATCTTTCCACAAACTCAGGTCTACGTATTTCAGCAAGTGTAAACTCGAATCTTGCACGGAAGGACGGTTCGGAGTGAGCGAGACTGAATAAGCGGGTTTAGAGCGGGTGGTCGACATTCGAATAAGTGATCGAGTTCTTAGGAAACGTTTTATGGAATTTTCTAATCGAATACCGACCGATTGGGTCGCCTTTAAATGCTTTCGAAAAACGGTTTGCCATCATTTGTTTTTGACTCTATCATATCTGCCATCAATGTTCCGTGTGCTGGGGCCCTTAAAGTCAATACCGCCACGCCAATTGACATTCTAATGATATTTGTACGACGCTTCCATCATAGATAATGTTTGTGGTTTGTTCTTTTCTGCTATTGTTGCGAACTAGGACGACTTCTGTTTAAGGTTCCCATGGCAGTGGCTCTCAAGCATTATCTTAATTTTGCCGAATTTAACATAGAATAGAAGTGACGGCACTGAAGAAATAGATCCATGGCCTGTTGCCATAACCCGAAACTCTTGTTAACCTTCCCCCTAATGCTGTCAACATTGATAACAACCGCTGAATTGGAGCACTGAAAATATTAGCGCTCACTACACCCGTATGTTGGATAAAACTACGGTACCCTATGGGGTAATTAATCCCCATTTTGTTTGGGACTGCATTAAATTGTAAGATGTTCAATATGTGTATCTGTTGCAGCCATCTCGCGCCGCAAGCTCGAGCTGAGCGTCGAGACCGTCACGCGCGCCGTCAACTCCCTGGACCTGAAGACGCTGCATCTCGACAACGTGGAGCTTCTGCAGCGCATGGTTCCTACTGATACTGAGGTATTGTTCCTTTATATTAAACAATACAATACCTTCTCTGAGGACTTGATTAGACAGATACTGAGGTATTATTCCTTCACATTAAACGATACAATACCTTCTCTGAGGACTTGATTAGACAGATACTGAGGTATTATTCCTTCACATTAAACGATACAATACCTTCAGGTGCTGAGGTATTGTTCCTGCATACTAACGATAAAATACCTTCAGATACTGAGGTATTGTTCCTGTGTACTAACGATAAAATACCTTCAGATACTGAGGTATTGTTCCTCCATACTAAACGATACAATACCTTCAGATAATAAGGTATTATTCCTGTATACTAACAATACAATACCTTCTCTGAGGACTTGATTAGACAGATACTGAGGTATTATTCCTGCATACAAAATAGTACCTTCTCTGTGGACTTGACTAGACCAATGCTGAGGTGTTAATTCTGCAAACAAAAAGTATAATACCATTGGAACTCTCTGTCTACGTGGTTAATTCTTCCTCACTCAGAAATAAGTTATTGCAAGGACTTGAATATTAGTTGGGGGAGCTTCTGTGATGCAAGCTAGTGATAAAAAATGGGTACCCTATTAATCCACGTATTGTTAAGTATTCATAGAGTATTTTATTGATGCTTCATTGATAACAATTGTGTGTTGTTTCCTAGACTGTAATAATTTATGCGTTCAGGTCACTTTGAATGTCCTTATCACTCAAAAATTTCATGTTATTATCAAGTTTGTTATACCATCTTGTTGAAATTCCTCGGCTTTATATGGAAACCTACAAGCTGGAATTTCCATTAGCCTCCTGTTGCTCCGGGTTAATTTTTATCAGTTTCTGGTGTAAAAATCTTGAGTTTTTTCCGTGTTATCAAATATTTTGTCATTTTTGAGTGAACATGGCTGAAATTCAGCAACATGGCTGAAATTTGAATGGCTGAACTTCAACATGGCTGAAATTTGAATGGCTGAACTTCAATATGGCTGAAATTTTAATGGCTGAACTTGAACATGGCTGAAATTTCTGCAGATAAAAGCATATCGAGAGTACGAGCGTAACAAGTCTCCGCTGCACCTGCTCACTGAAGAAGATCAGTACATGTTCCACCTGAGCAAGATAGACAGGCTGGGCACGAAGCTGAGCCTCATGAGCTTCCTGGCCAACTTCACTGACAGCCTGCACTGCATTACGCCTCAGATACACGCCATCATCACCGCCTCCAGATCTGTTAAGAACAGCTCCAAGCTACGACGCTTGTTGGAAGTCATTCTTGCGTTTGGTGAGTGTTAAGAACAGTCCGCCTAATAAAAATTAGTGTTAAGAACAGCTCCAAGCTACGGCGCTTGTTGGAAGTCATTCTTGCGTTTGGTGAGTGTTAAGAACAGTCCGCCTAATAAAAATAAGTGTTAAGAACAGCTCCAAGCTACGGCGCTTGTTGGAAGTCATTCTTGCGTTTGGTGAGTGCAATCCTCATGTCATAGTTTGAAACATACATTGGCTTTCGTCAGTGTAGCGAACTCAGTCTAAGTGCGCAGTGTGTTAGATATGTCTGATATTTGGTAGATGATTATTAATAGGTTGTCTCACACTCTTTTTTATTATTTTTTGGAAAACATAAATATAAATATCTTTTTTCGGATGTAATATCTTGAGTGTTTTTTTAATAGTATGAAACAGGTTAATAATTTGTTTGGGTAAAATGAAGAGGGAAGTTCAAGAGGTTTAGCGTCATTGCATATAAATCTGAGTCGAGTTAGACCATAATTTTCTTGTCCTGGTACTCAGGAAATTCCGGTACTCGCTTTGCACTGTTTATTTTAGGGCCAAGCAGCCAATAAGATCTTCATTTGGTCACGCAAATATGCTCCGCTATATATTTTTAACTTGAAAATATTTTAACTTGAAAATATTTTAACTTTTCAATATTTTAAACTTTTTAACCATTTAGAATTTAAATTAACTAATGAGCATTATCTGAGCAGGCAACTACATGAACAGCAGCAAACGTGGTCCGGCCTACGGCTTCAAGCTGTCAAGTTTAGACAGTTTATGCGACACTAAGTCCGCCAAGAAGAAGATCTCGTTGCTGCACTACATACAAGACACCGTGCGCACCAAGTTCCCGGACCTGAACAACTTCGAGGCTGAACTCAGGGGCATCGAAATTGCTGCACAGGGTGAGCATCCCATCACTTCCCGCCTTTATAAACTAGCTGTATTTATAAATTGCTGCACAGGGTGAGCATCTCATCACTTCCAGCCTTTATAAACTAGCTGTATTTATAAATTGCTGCACAGGGTGAGCATCTCATCACTTCCTGCCTTTATAAACTAGCTGTATTTATAAATTGCTGCACAGGGTGAGCATCTCATCACTTCCTGCCTTTATAAACTAGCTGTATTTATAAATTGCTGCACAGGGTGAGCATACCATCACTTCCAGCCTTTATAAACTAGCTGTATTTATAAATTGCTGCAAAGGGTGAGCATACCATCACTTCCAGCCTTTATAAACTAGCTGTATTTATAAACTGCTGCACAGGGTGAGCATCTCATCACTTCCCGCCTGTTATAAACTAGCTGTATTTATAAATTGCTGCACAGGGTGAGCATCTCATCACTTTCCACCTTTATAAACTAGCAGGATGGCCCTACGTTGCTCGGGATCAATATTTCCTGTTGATAAGAGTACCGCTATCTCGAATCTTATGCATAATATTAAAGTTAATCTGTGCTAACGAAAGAAAGAACCTTGGAAACCCATATGTTACATTTGACTCTGGCAAAATAGAAGAAAAAATTTGCCTACTTTTAAAATTAAATTTTGATGTAGGTACCAATTTTATAACCATTTCAATTTTTGATTCAATTCTTTCCTCGAGTACTAAAAATTATTGCAATCCCTCATTTAGATTTCAGATACTTTCACGGATACGCACCTCTGCAGCTTGCATGTATTTTCGGTGCCAGGCTTCGAACAAACGCACAAAATTGCACAAACATGTATTATTTCACTTACTTGGATTCCAAACAATCTGGTAAAGCTTCAATTCTGCGCGCAGATGTCCGTGTCTGAACAACTTCTTGTGATCAAAATAAATGTTCCCTTCTGAAGGGGGCATCATTTATCAATTACATTCAGCAATGGTATATGCAAATTGCATGCGGCGGATTGCATTTGCCACCTGCATTAGCAGTTTGTAAACATCGTGAAGACTTACCTCGAAACTTCTTAATATTTCTAATTAAATTATTTAGTTTATAGTGTTATTCAGGATTATTGTGTCCTGACATGCCGTATGAAAAAATGTATTAATATCTGGCAGTGTCACTTAGGGGCGGGTAGTTAGAATTTATTATAAAGTTCAAACGGTTGAGTTAATAAAATTCACCTACAGCTGCTATATCCAACTAAGTGTAGAGTCGCCTCTGTCACCTCGTAACCCTGAGTGTGACAATACAGTGTTGTGTGGCAACCCTGAGTGTGACAATACAGTGTTGTGTAGTAACCCTGAGTGTTACAATACAGTGTTGTGTAACCCTGAGTGTGACAATACAGTGTTGTGTGGTAACCCTGAGTGTGACAATACAGTGTTGTGTGGCAACCCTGAGTGTTACAATACAGTGTTGTGTAATAACCATGTATCGATGTGACAGTGTCGCTGGAGAACATCGTGACGGACCTGACAGAGCTGGACAAGGGGATGGAGTCTGCCAAGAAGGAGGCGGAGCGCCTGAAGGGACATCGCAGCCAGGAGGCGCAGCTCGCCACCTCCATCCTTGGCGACTTTCTCGCCAACTCCCTCGACAAACTTCAGAAAGTTTGTACTTTTTGGGGTTTAGAGCTTATGTCAAACTGTAGCAAGGAGTAACAGAAGGTTAAAATGTTGCTGAAATGTTTGCTTATCATTTCGCTTACTTGCTTCAGATTGATTCTCTCAATGCAACGCAATAAACTGGACTTTTATTTCCATGATCTTCAATGACAAGTTCAGAAATATAACAATAGATCAATTTCAGCGCCGCTGTAAATTATTTCTAGTTACACTAATATTACACAACATGAATTAATATGGTTTAATTTATTTGTAAAGAAATCGTTTCATTATAACATTGCCTTCACAACAATGGTTTTACTAGAAGCAAAGCCATTCTATTTGAAACATTTTTCTATTTGAAACATGCACAATGCTCTTTTTTGCTGCAATAATGATGGTCTTTATTGAAGATTACCTTGATTGAAGGTATACTTCATCAAAGACTACCTTGACAGACATCTAAAGTTTCATGGTACTTCGTTGCTTCATATGCAAACTACTTACACACTAATATAACACATGCATTTCTCGAGTAATCGTATGAAAATGTCTTTAACACGCACGTCATTAACGTGCCAATATTATAATTCTCATGTGGCCCAGTGGTTACCGTTCAGGCCTATACTTTCAAAAAAAGTTAAGAGATCGTAAGTTCATCAGCCAATCATTGACGGCCTTTCAAGCAAAATCTACCAATCATAGACAAGAAAATAGAGCGTAAGTACTTACGTTCACTTAGCGAGTTTTAAAAGTATGGTCCCAGTGTACTAGCATTGGCGCAGGGAGGCGCGGGTTCGATCCCAGTTCTGTGCGACAGTTTCTGGTCAGAATCGGCGAGGAGGCCGGGCGGTTAAGCACAACAGAATTGTAGCAGTGAGTTGCGAGTTCAAACCCGCAACAAGCTGTGAATGTTCTGCGATGTTAAGAATCTGTGACAGGCCTACGGCCTAATAAACGCTGAAATCGTTATTTATTTTGTATTTCTTATGTCGGCAGCTGAAGACGGAGCTGAAGATGGGCCAGGACGCGTTCGCTGAGGCACTCGAGTATTTTGGGGAGTCGACGCGCAGCCTCGCGCCCAACACATTCTTCTCCATCTTCGTGCGCTTCTGCAAGGCTCTTACAGGGTGAGCTGCAAGGCTTACAGGGTGAGCTGCAAGGCTTACAGGGTGAGCTGCAAGACTCCCGACGTTCACTGAGCTACGATAGATATCATGAGTGTTGACTAAGATTGGAATGTCAAGAGAAACAAATTCATCAAGTATTTATTACCTTCTTTATAATTGTTACGATGTCCCCCAGACGGCTGACACGGACAACGCTCAGCGTCGCAAGATCGAGGCAGCGCAGCGTGCAGCAGCAGCTGCTGCACAGCAGCGTGATGCTGCCGCTGCCGCTGCTGCCGCAGCTGCTGCAGACGCTGTTAACGCCAACGTCAACTCCGAGGGCAACGCACGCCATCATCAGGTCACACTTATATCATTTCTATTATTCGTTATTTTACTTAAGGTACCGTAAGGTCTTTTCAGAGGTTTATTTTTGGTAATGATTTTTTGTATTATAAGCTGTATTTAATATTCTCGATTATTATTGACAATCGTTGTCATTGAACCTGCTTTTCTGCTCATTTTCTAATGTCCCAGGGCATTCATGATCTGGTCTAATAATTCAAAAAAATAAGAAACCCTCCTCTTTTACTGTACAAAATCGTTTTATTCGCGCGGTACTTGCTGAGTTCTGGATGCGAGTAAAATGCAATGAGTGAAATTCATAATATAAAAATTATTGTTCGTAAAATCCATATAGGGGAGTTATATTTCCATTTGAATTCCTCACTAACCTCAAATGCGGCCCTAAGTCCCTGTCGTGATTTTCGATCCTAGAAGCTAAAATCCGCTTATTTTTACACGAGTCCCTTTTATCTTCGTGCTTTAATTAGAATGTTATACCTAACTAACCTGTAGCTGGGCTGGTGATAAATAGTTTCGATATTTCTTCCTGTTATATAATAGTTGTATAGTATGTCTCCGAGCCTCACGAAATTTAGGAATTATACGTCATTGTTTGTCGCTGGTCAAAGGTGAGTCTTTTTTCTCTTTAAATTTTATTTTCGGTTGTTTAAACTGATCCCTCTAACCGCAAATGTATTTCTGTTCTTGTTCGTTTTCACTTTTTATTCGTGTTGCCAAGCTAATATGTACAAGCCTGACGTTCTCATGGCCCCATGCAGACGCTCGCGTCTGGATTGCGATTGTCCAGGCCGCAGTTAACTCGTCGCTGGTCGTTGCAATTTTCAGTCACCTCCTGCTTAGTCATCATATATAGAGTCTCGTTCATCCACGGCCTTTAATTGTTCCATTTAATTAATGTTTCTGTTAATGTACCTATTAAACTTGTACTGGGACGTTCTCGCACTTTCATCTAGGTTAGTGTCTCTTGGCTACTTACAGAACTCAGCCCAAAATAGCATTCTCGATCTCATTCATCATTCCTGTGATTTTTTGCTCATGCAGAAATATATGTGTATGTATATATATATCAAAACTTTTTTTCTGAGTATTTTTTACAAGAAATGTAAACTTCACGCGCTCTTCGTTGATTAAGTCGCCTCATTTAAGCCATACAATACATGGTGATTTTTCAAATTTTTCAAATCAATCGCTTGCTGAAACCATTGTAAAATGTACATTCGTTCCCTGCGCACCTAAATTGCTTCCGTTATTCAAAATGCTTCCGGCACTCATTTCCATACCTGCATTGTTTTAATAAACTTTTAACTCGTTTAAAATTTGGTATATTTTGGTTTAGCCTTAGTCAGCACTGCCTGTTAGCCTCACATCTTTCAAGTGTGTTGTAAATTAATCACAGATTTTTTGTTTGACTTTCATTTTGATTGCATTACTTCACATTAATTTATTTGCTTCTTAAATTTTGCCCTGACATCCCCTTTCGTTTAAAAGATTTTAATTTCCTTACAAATCCTCTGCTTTTTTCCTCTTCTCACAGCCCTCGTTCCCGCAATCTCAATTTTTCAATTGGGCCAGAAGCGTTGCCGGTGTTCCAATTTAAAGCCACGCAAGAGAAACTTCAGAGGAAATGTACTCATCCACAGAGAACATATTTTGCTTCAAAAGAATCCTGTTCCTAAATGTTAAACTTCCTAACGTCAGAAAAAGTCCTAATAAGTGTAAAGTATAATTTGTGTATCATCGTACAATTAAAGTCGTCGCCAGCGAACTGAGGAATGATTTACTGCGTGGTGAAGAGGAACATTCACGTGGCCGTATTTGAAGCCAATTATTGAAAACTAAAACTCAGCAAATGTTTTAAAATGTTTACAATAATTGACTGTGAGAAATTAAAATGTTTCAGTGTGACTCAGAGTGGAATTTGGAAGGAATTAGCATCATGACCTTTTGTTGTATACTTAGAAACTACAACAGCTGGTTTTGTTATACACTTTAACGCTGCTAGAGACTTCATCATTTTCTTGCAAAATGAGTTGTTACAATGACAGTCTATTATCTTACCGCATCTCGAATCCCTCGTCGAATTTTACCCAAAATTAAAACATTTATTTTTAAATTATAGACTTCTTCAAAATTAAAATAGGTAAAATTTCCTCGGCCTTCAAAAGGAGACTAACAAGCTATTGATGTGTTAACATGCGGAGAAATAACATTGTTTTTCTGTCCAGAGCTGAACCATGCCTGTTGCGACCTGACGCACAATCCTTAATTTGTTTACCATCTTAACTTGTATACCTTACATTCTACTGAGTTAGAGAATGTGAAAATGAAGACATGTGGAAGAAAAGACATGAATTGATGATAGAAACATTCGTTTCACGTGGAAATGTGTTGTATATCGCATTGAGAATATCCTAAATAATCTCCGTGATCCTCGTCAATGGAAGAAGTCGTCGTCCAAATTTAACCTCGACCAGACGAGCACAACTTGTTCCTTTGTTACTGAAGAACGTTTGCCGCGACGGAAAATCCTACGCAGCAATAAATGAAGCCCAATCGTCCGGCGCTTGGATGTTCGTCAGGAAAACACAATTGTATTTTTTTTTTTCAAGATACTCCGGTCGATCTACAATTAACTTCAATAGCGTCGATTAAAACGGTAACTGCCCCGATGAAGAATCTTCTTTCCACGTCCCCAAGCTGACGAGGAAAGAGCTGAGCGTAGAGCCTGATATCTTATGCATCCCAGTAATGAGCTTCTTGCGTGGCTCAAATTTAACAGAATGTGCCCCAAAAAATACTTGTGTTATCCATGCATTCCTTACTCTTCTTCTTAGTTTCCAATTATTCTCCATTTCATTATACCCTTCCTTTTGAGGCCTTTGAAGTTTTTTTTACTCACTTGCTTCCCGCTTCTTCCTCATTTTTTCACAGTTTTACGCCAGAAAAATATTATTTTCATGAGCTTTCATGAGCCGTTGAATTGTTTCATGTTCAACTCTGTTGATGATGAACATTACCGTGGTGCATGGTCCCTCCTCTGCAACCGTCTGCTACTTCCACTGTATTTCGCATGCGTTACTCACATTTATCTTACAATATATTATATTTTTAACCAAACGCTATTGTAAAAATGCAAATGATTTTGTAACATAAGAATTATAATTAAAAATTGTCTTTATAGTGTATGTAACGTGTAATTCTCTTCAGCATGTATATTTTTATATAATCATCGGTACTCAATCACCATTTCCCCATACGGTACACTCTTCTTCCCTCATCATACGACAGATTCTAGTCGCGCTCAATCAAAGTTTCGCTCCATCACCTTAAATTTATGTAACTTTAGTAATTCAATTTTCAAAACTATTGTTGAAGCTTGATATTCGCCTGTTAATTATACATGATCATATGACTGCAGCACTGGCATGAAGCAGTCAGCATTGTTTGTTCTCTATTATTGTTATATTTGCTTTGCTTGGCTTGCCTGCGCATGTCTTTCTACTGTTCGTGCTTATAATTATTGGATTTAATAGTGTAAATAAAGCTCTCTGTGTGTTCGGTAAGTTTGTAAAACATGAAACTGACCCGTAATAGATGCTAGTTTAATACTCAATTGATGATCACTGAGATTTAATGCCCAGTGAGTGTGTCTTTAATTCCAAAAAATTTAAATATGCTGATGAATACTTGCTAATTACCATAAAAGGTCAAATTTTTATTCATGAGAATGCACATAATTTATCTGCAGTTAAACGTGCTCACCAACCAAATTTTTTTATCTGCCTTAGCACTAGCAAAATATGCTGACGTATATTTACTCATTTGAACATTTTTACATTTTATCCGTTTAGAACAAAAGAAACTTCGGTGCTGCTCTCTGCTATATTAACTATCATTGTTATTGGTGTAGGCGGCGGTGATACATTTCATCCGTTTAGAATATAAGAAATTTTTCTGCTATATTAACGATCATTGTTATTGGTGCAGGCGGCGGTGATCGGAGAGCTAAGGGCGCGAGGCGTGGTGGCGGACCGCCGTCTTCTGTCGCAGGAGGACGTCTACCACGGCGCCCTCGAGGACATCCTCATCGGCCTCCGCAACGAGCCCTACAGGCGCGCCGACGCCCTCCGCCGCAGCCACAGGAAGAGGGACGTCGCCGTCAGGCTCTCGCGCACCAGTGACGATAACCTCGACTTCTAAATTATCTTCTTCCACTTGTAGAATTTGTGACAAATTTGAGCGACTTCCAAATGCATTTGAGCATTAAGTGCCCGATTACTATTACGAATTTCCACTAACTTTAATAGTGAAAATTTTTAAAATCTGGACGAGCAATTTAAAATTAATGTTATGATTACGAATTTTATAGCGGTTAAAATCTAAGAATCTCATTGATGCCTCGACAAGCATAGGCCTATGAAACGGAAAGAAATGTTCAAATTTCAGCAATGACAGCCTATACATGCTGAAGATTTTGGTCGGGATCCAATGTTAAATTGTCTTTAGCGCCTTCACAGACCCGCGATATCTTAGGCGGATACTCCGCCTGGAATTTCCTGTAATTTTGTCCCCGTTTTGGGATTGGGAGGCGCTGGGAATTGTGTAGATGGCCGGGTTTAATTTAACCTGTTACAGATTCTTCGAGTGATGTTGCTTCTGGCTGGATCCAGAGACGCAGCACGAGCAAATTTTGTTGAGACGTGTTCTTCGAACTGTAATTTGTAATTTACATTTTTTTCTGTGCTTCTAGGCTATTCGGATTTATGGAGTTGAAAAATCACAAGAACGTTAGCGATTTTATTATGAGTTTGGTGATTAACTTTAGTGTCGAGTCTCGTGGCGAGTTCAGGACGACTAAAAGTATATATAGACTACGCTCAATTTTTTCTGAAATGTGTCGTGTTTACGTAATGCCGAGTCTTCACATAAAAAACATGAAATTTAGCATGGAATTTTCCATTGTCAAATAAGGCAAACCTTGTTATTTTGTGGTCATTGCTGTTTAAGGAGCGCTCTTGAAAAGGTTTTGATAAATCAGCTCCTGTTATTCTGTAAGCTTATATGTTCAATGCTAGCACCAATTGCGTATCTTTTACCTATGCTAACCTATTGTGTGGTTTAAATGCCATTACATCATTCGCCGGCACTGGCTTGAAGAGGATGAGGTTCAAAAGGGATTCTGAAACTTGTAGAATATTTCAGGATTTTTGGTAAAATTGATTAGGTATATTGATGCTTTGACATCGTACAAATATCAATGCCGTGGCCTTCCTTCATGCCTTTTTACTGCACGCTACGTTTTTCTATTGCAGTCATGTACAATGAACCCAATCGTCGATAGATAAGCTCTGCAATAAAGGGTTGCTTTATATTGTCTGCAGCATTATACGCCTATTGCAATCCTCTAAGTGCCCTAGCTGCGGTTATATCAAGTTTTAATGCCAAACATGACTTAAGAAAGCTTAAATACAATTTTTAATCCCAAGTTCTTCTTATCTTCTCACATAAGTAGATTGCTTGACAATGCACTGCACAAGCCCTAGGGTTGCTCACCGACTTCCAGTTCACTCTGAAGCTCAACTTTCCATCTCTGCTTGTTCAAATGAACAAGTTTGTATTCGTACAACACTCTTATTAATTTGGTACATTAAGTTTCTCTGCCTAGCAGCTTAGGTATAGTGGTATATTATATAGCTTCCTAACACGGAGGTGCACATTTGTCAGTATTTTCAATTCTAACGCACCCATTTCGTTTTAAAAGTGAAGAAGCCTCAGTAGTTATGAATTTATTGATTTCTAGATAAGTTTTCCGATACTCTAACATATCAGTTGAACGACTGTCTGCTAAACGTTTTTCGAAGTGCAAGAAATATTGTTTTCGTTCTCTTGAGCGGATTCTGTCTCCGTCTTTTTGCCCTTATTTTGTAGTTCGTCGAGATTTTTAAACTATTTATTCCATATTAAATTAGATTTTGTTGGGAGATATACACAAAATCCTGTTCCGTATTTTTAATTAAATCTCACCCAAATGTGTTGAATTTGGATGTTTACTTTTGTTTTTCGTCAATCCTAAGTTATAGTAAAGATGAATTGTTTATTAAAATTTTTAATTTGTGGATGAATACATTTCCTTCTAAATTATTTTCCCACCAAATTACAAATATTTAATTTTTAGTTTATAGCTTTTTCTTCCTTGTTTTGGCTCTAATTTACCTACGTAGTTCAGAAATACGTATTATTTAACCGTGCTGAACGCGATTGGTATTTTCTATCTTACTCATTTGAATGTAATTAAATTTTATTTGGTGTTCGTTCACTCTCATTATTCATAGGTAGATTTGCAAAAGCTCCTATTTTATTTTAAGCCTTTATTGAGTCGTATATTTGATCAGAAGTTTGTGACTGTTCAGAGACAGAATGAGGGGTTATCTCGTTCTCCTATATTTTAGGTATGTTTCTTGTAATCGATGTAGAAGTGAAATGCCTCCTAATAATCCATCTCCTTTAAGCTCCATCTTCTCATGTTTTAGCCTCTTCTCTCTCAACGTCGTATTCAAGAATATATGAATACAAGAATATGATAAAAATGGCACTGTAATTCAGTAAAGAACTGCTGTCCTATTTTCCCTGCACCTTACAATAATTAAGATTGTCTGGTAGCTCAAAATGTAATTACTTGCGTGTAACTATTTTCTTTAAAGTGTCTTTATTTTTTATTTGTCATGTTACATGTTAATTATGGATTCCATAATTTTTTTTCTACGGCTTGTCGAATAGTTAGTGGATTACGATACAGAGATCTGAGGCCTTACTAGTCTAGAGAATGATAGTGTCATTACCTTAACGTTGCCAGATTATGGTATCTCGCTTGTTCGCATTCTTCTCGAGCTGTGACTGCTGTAAATTTATACCTACAGATGTTTCTAGATTTTAAACCTCGGCTCCTAATTGACCTTCGTACAATATTTGCTTCAATCAAAACCATTTGGATTCTATTCGTTGATAGTTTATGTAATTACAAGTACCTTTACGTGCGCATAAGTCCCTTGATCTTCTAAATTTCTAATTATTTGTCTCGCTGAAATAACTCAAATAAGTTAGACGGTTCATGGCCGCTATTGAACGATGTCGGCCGATCGTACAGAGAACCAATTCGTGGTACTCCTTGGAAGACATGACGGTTTTGATTATACATCCGCGCGGGTAAGTCATTTAAAAAATTTCACCCAGGCTTCAACTCCATGTGCCTTCTGAAAATCCCGCCACAACTTGTAACCAATTGTAAGTGTGCGACTGTGCTTAAAAAATCGCGAGTTGCTGTAAAATTTGTAAATAATTGTAAATGAACTATATTAGTATGATTAAAATTATTGTTTCGATTATTAATATTTCATTTTACTATTTCGTAGCAGTGATAGCACAAATTTTCTGCGTAATATTAGGGTTAACCACATGTTGTACAGGATACTGGAAGATAATAGAGTCAATGCACAATATTCGCTACTTGTATCCTTTTATTCCATTAATAATTAAAACTGAGTTACGTTTGTCATCTCGCATCGTTAGCGGCGTACAAAATTTTTAAAACGCCTTTCCCATTATCAATATTTTACCGGAATTCCTGCTTTGCTGTAATTATCTCGAGAAAAATTAAATTTTCAACTTTTTTGTTTCCAGCACCCTGTCAACAATATTTTTTTATCGCTTGTGCAATGCCTCAAATTACTTCGAATTAATGAATTGCCAAAGATGAGTTACGATCTTTTGTATCCTACGCTCTTTTCGTTTTCCGACTTGTGACGGAGAACGGAACAGATTATTATCTTCATTACCATTTTCATCTAATGTCGGGTAACCAAAAGCCACAGCTGAACAAATTGTCGTTAAGTCAAATTTGATTGCAAGTAGGGCACCGGCCCGCTATTCTAGGTGATCAACGATTTTTAATTAGAGCCATTGTTTGTTTGATAGCCCACTCCATTATCTCTGATACCTGCTACTGCATACAATAATCTGGAGATTTTATGATTTGATTATTCGTCCAAACAAAATAAGGTGAGGATCCTACACTGGTTTCAAAATATGCAGAAACTTCCTGCCCACTCCATTCTGCAACTGATGACGCTAGTTAATGATAAATCTTTCCTCACCAATAGCTTCAACTTTTAATCGAACCACTACCAGTTGACTCATTAGTAACGAGTAATGTCATTCCTATTCAACATTTCGGATGCATCTTGCTAACAGCCATTTTCAGTGCTTCAGTGCACAAAGCAAGCTCGTGCATGTATCTCACGAATAGCTCTTTTTTAGATTTCGCGAACGTAGCTCGATGTATTACATTTCTGGGCAATTCCATTGTCCCGACTGTGGGACGAGTTGCCAAATTGCTCATATCGATTAACTATCGAGATCCACATTCAAGAGACTAGAGCAATGTATCATCGATATCTCAACAAGCATATCAAATAAAAATACGACATCTGAAGACTACCTTCAATCTCCCTTTAATCTCCGAGTCTGAAGAAAATCAAATCTCAAGAGCTTCAAATCCATTTATTACATCAAAATACATCAACTGGTGATTTCACCGGCAACTTCCGCACCGGCAATCGAACAATATGAAATTAAAACTTCTGCAGCGATTCGCACTCGTAAAATTGACTATAGCCAAGAAAACGATTACGCTTAGAGCAATAATAGAAATTGAACGGAAACGAAACTTACGATGTACTGCAATGCTTAGTTTTTCCAAGAGATGAAATGATGTGTGAAAGGAGCTGCATGAACATAGCAGGCCATTATAACACTAACACTCGCACGATGTCTGTTAAGACCAAAGTATTAAGTAAGAGTCAATGCACACTAGCTTTCAAGAAATAAATTTTTCATACTCCATTGCATCAAAGACATCGATATGATAAAATTCTTCGGTAATAAATTTACCTAATATGGTTGAAAATATCTTTAATAAAAATGAAATGAACATCTCGGCAAGAAATGAACTTGACAATTCAGCCTCACTTCAGAGCTATCTTGTCACAGGGTGATGGCAAGTTCAAAATAAATTTCCATATTAAAGCAAAGACAAACACTATTGTTGCAACCGTAAATCGATTAACGATTCTTACATAAAGAAAAATTGAACAGAGCACTTGAAGATCTTTTTCATATCTATTCGTGTTGATCTGAGTGTACAGGAAATGCACAATTACTGGCGTCATCTTAATGTGAACTTGAAAAATGAATCCGTTAACTGGAAAAAAAAGATGAAAAAATCAGCGTCTCTATTTTTAACGAGAGCAGACGCTAACACCTTACATATTAATGTGTATAATCTACATCTACGCTGAAAAAGTACCCTCCGAAGACAGAGAAAAACAGAAAGAAATCACTCATTAGTAATTATTTTACTCTATTGCTGAAGCCAAAAAATACCGCCGCTATTGAAAACCCATTGGGACCGAGCAGTAATTTTTTTGCCGGTGAAAAATGCTATCGGTGGTTACCTACACCTTCGTGTAAAAATCAAAAATAGATAGCCAAAATGAATTTCACATGAATGAATTCAAAATTTCAGAGCAATCAATAGCAGAGAAAATCCATCGGGGTATTGATGAACGGAAAATTTCAAGCAATACGTACCGACGTAGATACAAAATAAAAATTCCTGTGGTCATCTGAAGGGCGCAAAAAGTTTTTGATAAATATTGTCCAGTCATCCGCCCTCGTTCAGTTATGGTATCAACTTCTACTCTGTTTTACGACCGTCTTTCTTCGTCAACCCACGAAGCTTCACGTTTTCCGAAAGTAGCTTTTGATAGTTGAGAACAATGGCCTGCATGTCATTGAACAATTTCTCCTGTTCAGGCAAAGCTTTCGACTGTGACTGCAAGAAGAGCCGCATCTCAAGCGCGGTCTGGGCTTCAACGACAAAATATCCCGATTTGGATTCGTTATGTTGGCAGAGATCACCAGTGATACTCTCCACGTTCGGTTGTTGACCATCGACATTTTTACCGCAAGAACGATCATCATTATATGATGCGTCACTTGATCCTTGGAGCTGTTGCTTCGGTTGAGTAATATCAAGTTTTCGTTCCTTTTGAGCGCCTTTGAGTTGATGCCTCTGTGGAGTAACCTCTATCTGTGCCTGCAGTTGCACATCTTTCAACTGGTGCGTCTGTTGCTTTTGAAGGACATTCTGCTGGTGCCCTTTTTGGGCACCTTCGAGCTGATGCTTCTGTAGAGAGGTTTTCAACTGTTCCTTCAATTGCGAAATCTTAAGCTGGTGTTTCTGCTTAGACACATCAAGCTGTGGTTTCAGGGGATTGACTTTAAGCTGTTGCTCCTGGTGACTGGCCTTGAGCTGCTTTTTCTGCGGAGAGACTTTAAGCTGCTGCTCCTGTTGGGCCTCGACCTGCTCTTCCTGTTGATTAGCCTTACGCTGATGTTTTTGTTCAGTGACCTTAAGCTGCTGCTCCTGTTGATTAACCTTAGGCTGTTCCTCATTTTGGGTGCCTTTGAATTTATGACGCAACAGACTTTCTCTGACCTGCATAAGCTTGACCTGAGTCGCACCTAGCTCCTTCGTACGAGCCTTGCTACTTGCGCTCTTCAACAAGGACGCGGTGTGAGTCAGGACGCCGTCACGAGCCGCTCCCTCTCCTGCAAGCGCAACGTGTCAACCATCATTAATTACAGAGATACATACAACACTAAATGAATATACAATACAGAGATACATTAAACACTAAATGAATAATCCTTGACGTCAATTTTCTTACTTTACAAGTTCATATCAGAACCAACTTCAGCACCGGTATTCGAGCACCTTTATAACATAACATAACATAGTGATGTCGGCTCTGAAGTGTAGGCCTGATGTGGCCTGTCGCCGATTCTTTTCCATTTCGTGCCTTGTTCATAGATCTAAACTCGTGTCATTTGACCGGATCTTTTCATGACTGGCGATAGTTTGAAG